AGAATCGTGTCATCAGCAAACTGTAAGTGAGTGAGGGGGGTTTCCACCCTCCCAACCCTCCAGCCTCTAATGGGCCCCCTAGAATCTGCTCTGTGAATCAGTTTCCCCAAAACCTCTGCAATTAAAATGAACATTAAAGGAGAAAGGGGGTCTCCTTGTCTTATACCCCTATTGGCTGGAAAGAAATCTACCAATGTCCCATTCACTAGCACTGAATAAGTGAGTGAGGGGGGTTTCCACCCTCCCAACCCTCCATCCTCTAATGAGCCCCCTAGAATATGCTCTATGAATCAGTTTCCCCAAAACCTCCGCAATTAAAATGAACATTAAAGGATAAAGGGGGTCTCCTTGTCTTATACCCCTATTGGCTGGAAAGAAATCTACCACTATCCCATTCACTAGCACTGAATAAGTGAGTGAGGGGGGTTTCTACCCTCCCAACTCTCCAACCTCTAATGAGCCCCCTAGAATCTGCTCTATGAATCAGTTTCCCCAAAACCTCCGCAATTAAAATGAACATTAAAGGATAAAGGGGGTCTCCTTGTCTTATACCCCTATTGGCTAGAAAGAAATCTACCACTATCCCATTCACTAGCACTGAATAAGTGAGTGAGGGGGGTTTCCACCCTCCCAACCCTCCGACCTCTAATGAGCCCCCTAGAATCTGCTCTGTGAATCAGTTTCCCCAAAACCTCCGCAATTAAAATGAACATTAAAGGAGAAAGGGGGTCTCCTTGTCTTATACCCCTAYTGGCTGGAAAGAAATCTACCATTGTCCCATTCACTAGCACTGAATAATGACAATTCCGGACACAACCCATGATCCACTTACACCATCTARCCCCAAACCCAAATTTAGTTAAAACTTTTCTCAAGAACTCCCAGTCCACCGAGTCATAAGCCTTTTCCAGGTCCAGCTTATAGACCACTCCCTTCTTCTTATCCCTCTTAAAGTTCTCCACACTCTCATTAGCAATTAAAATCTGGTATGTAATTTGTCTTCCACTCACAAAAGCTCCTTGATAGTGTGCAATGAATTCTGGCAATACCTTCTTCAACCTCAAAGACAACACTTTTGCAATGATTTTATACAAGCTATTAACCAAGCTTATTGGCCTAAAATCCTTCGGGTGGGATGCATCTTTCTTTTTTGGAATTAAGGCTATAAATGTAGAGTTTACACCCGGATTGACAATTCCTCTCCTGAAAAACTCCTCAAACACCCGCAAGAGATCATCTTTCAAGATATCCCAACAATCCTAATAAAAAGCCATTGTAAACCCATCCGGCCCTGGAGCTTTTGTTCTATCCATAGAGAACACAGTCTCCTTGATCTCTTCTATATTAAAACTTCTTTCTATCATTCTCCTGTTCTCCACCCCTACATCTGGCCAATCCAAACCTTCTACCCACACCCTTCTACTCACAGGCCTTCTTAGAATAGATTTGAAGTGCTCCACACAGGTCCTGTCAATCTCCTCTTGCCGTACTAACTCAACTCCATCTACTACCAATTTGGAGATAAAGTTATTCCTTCTCCTGCCATCTACTAGAGAGTGGAAATACCTAGTGATGGGATAATTATTAGAAACAATACAAGAGACTCCATTTATGGCCGAGCTATTAGACTTCCTGTTTGCTTCGTAGAAGCTGAAGTTCTATCTTGTTTTCATGCCCTAGATTTTGCAGTTGGCTTGGGGCACCACCATATTATGGATGAGAGCGACTGCCTTTCTCTAATTAAGCTCTTGTTAGTGGATGGTCTACCACCTTGGTGTATAGCCAACAATATAGTAGATTGTCATCTGAACCACATTTTATTCATGAACTCATTGTACAAAGTCTTCCAATTCAATGAATAGGTTCTTTGATTTTCAGAAAAAAGTTCTAGAGATATATCAATAAAACTAAGGCCCCATTGCCTTCGCGGGAATAGGGGTTTGGAATTAGAATTGGAATCGGAATGGGCTAGTCAGATTCCAATTGTTTGGTTGCATGGAACTGGAATCCATGACATTTCACCATTTGAGAGAATGAGCATAAGAGCATTTCCTCTCCCTTCCTTGGGAATGAAATCCTATTCCTGCTGATTCTAGTTCACATTCTCATTCCTATCTGAACCAAGCAGACTATGGGAATAAACCATTTCAATTCCAAAATCTGACTGTAAACCAAACGAACCCGAAGTTCAAGTCTCAGATGACCATGAAACATATGCTTTGATAATTTATTGAAGTGTAATACCAAACAAAAAGTGTAAATTATGGAAACATGTCAAGAAAATATTGGAAAATGGTAGATGAGTTAAAATATGATCTGAATAAAAAAATACATTTAAATCAATTTATCATTTTTTTTATTTTTTACTTAATATACTATTAATTAGAAAAAAGTTGATAAAATAGTTTAGAGAATTGAAGCATATGTCATTTTAATAAATTGTAGTATCTAGGGAAAATATCTCTCTCTTGAAGCCTAATGAGGTAATTTGCTTTGGATATGCATAAGTGTTTTGGATGTAAATATCTTTGTTGTTATGTAATAAAATCTTTTTATGCATCTGAAAAAATACATTTTTTTGACTTCAGCCTAAGAGATGACCAAATTCAAAATATAGGAATATTTTAAGTCAAGAGAAAAAATTCCACAAACTCATTCCAACTATCAACTTTGATAGTAATATTTATATAGACTAATATGCATATGATATTGATAAAAAGTAGTAACCACATGATATTCGCTTTATCTTTTTTTTTGGTATGCAAATTTTCACTTTATCATGTGGGTTGTAATTGTTATGTTGCTAAATCAATGTTAAGGTTATTAATTTAAATGATCATTCCATTAAAATCCTCAATGACCTTGTGCTATTCAACTTGTGTCACATACCTATGCTATTAATACAATAAATCTTATATTATTAGGTGTATTGTGTCAGGTTTCTAATAGTTGAGTATGGTCTGCAATTATTGATTATGGTTCGGTAAATGGGTTAGGTTTGATTAGTTCAAACCTAGACCTAATCTTATAATTAAATGACAACACGGGTGGCCTGGGGTGGCTATGCCTTGAAAACTCCCATAATGGCTATTTAAATCCTACATATATTTTGCTTATCCTATCCATATCTTATATCTTTTGCCCCTTGCTTTGGCCCTCTTAGGGTGTGTTTGGAAAAGATGCAAATGGAGTGTAAATTCGGGTTCAAAGTAAATTTGTACTATGGTTTATTTTTACTTGCATTTAGTAATATTATATTTATGTATTGATAAATGACAAAAAACACATTTTCCAATGCATATTTACCTTGATGATAAGATGTAAAAGTACGTCAATAAAAAAGAAATAAATAGGTTTTTGATAAAAAAGGCATATGCTTTATTGGAATTTGTGCTTGCATCCATTACAATTAAAAATCTATTTGATAAAAAGGCTAATTTCTTCATGTAAAACTAACCCAAATTTGCAATTTATATGAACCATTTTATACTCTACATTTTTGCATTCACACTTATTTACATTGTTTCCAAATGCAGCCTTGAACAAAAATCCTAACTCCACTCAATTAATATATTAACTAATTCATTTTAATAGAGACAGAAATTCAAATCCTACTACCAAATTTGGGGAGAGGGGGTTAAGTGTGGTGCTACACTACTCAAACATAAAAAAGAAATCTTACAATTAAATGCGTAGAAGCAATTCCAAACCAGACCCTATAGAGTTGGTAATATGAACAATTTTGACCCGATAGGACCCGAATATAATTATTAGTTATATTTTAATTTGTACTTTCACTACAGAACTACTTATTTGTTAAATCAAGACATTTGGAATATTGACGATAATGTGACAAATATGCTATGGCAAAAATGGGTACTAGACTGAGAGTACAGGAATTATATATGCAATTATGTATAGTCGGTTCGGGTCTTTATCAGTGAGGAACATCCAAACCAATTTCAACCCAATTATAATCTGGAAGCATAATGCAAACCCAAACGGCGAAACCCTATATTATTTCTTCGATCTGGTTCGAGTCCAAAGTCCGAAATCCGATAATAATTTAATGGATATATTATATGGACTATCCAAGCATGTAACGAGTGAATTCCTAAATAGGCGTTTGGGTCTGTGGTATGACCGTACGAGGTCTTTGAACTGAAAGATCTCAGACCTTCCGGTGACATGGCAACAATGGAGAGATCCAAATTGATTTTGTTTATCACGGTTCTTCTGCACTTCTGTTCTTCTATTCTTCCTTCTGCCGCTGCAATTTCATCTGGGTATTGTTTTTTTTTTTTGTGCGCGTCTTCGTTTCATTTACTTCTCTTCTTAAACCCTAACATTGTTTGTTCTGTTTGAATTTGCGAATTTAAGGTTGTTTCTTTATGTTGGGATCTGTTAGAGCTTCTTTTTAATATCGACGTTTGCTTGAATTTTGAAATTGGCAGGGCGAGTGATGGCTACACCATTAATGGTCGGGTTAAGGTCGAAGGTATGCCGTTCCCTTTTTTCATGAAATTTACTTTCTAACATTGTTTTGGGAATTAGTAATATATGAACTGGAGTTTATGATGCAAATCATTCTAAAGAGCAATTTTATTGGGTTTGAATTTCACTTCAACTCAACTGTCATTATTAGATCCAATAAGCTCTGCAGATTTTTCCCCTCAATTTATCTGATACGACAATGTCCACCTTTAGCAATTGAAACCACCTTGATGATTAGACTCTGAAATACCCGTTACTTGATCTAAACCATAGAAGAGTGAAAACGAAGAATCTTTGGCTTCAGTAAGTGAAAAGTGTCGGAAGTAAAAGCTGAATTTTAGGGCTGCGAGCTCGGTTTGAACTTTGCCAGCGTGCCAATGACTCATTTAGGTCATCGATTGAAACCATAACTACCTCATGGTTTTGCCTAGTATCTACAATTAGGCAAAACTATGTAAGTTAGTTATGGTTCTATGGAAAATGATATTTTAATACACAGTTGCAGAGTGTTCTTCTGGAGATTGCTACATTTCATTAGATATGTAGTTTGTTGGAGGCAGCAAGTAGTAGTGTCTAAGATATTTCTGGACAAAACGGTTAAGCAAATCTCTATTTAGACTAACGAAATATTGCTGGTCAAATTAGATTTACGTTGAAAATTATGCTTATATTTCATATTTCTCTTTGGGTGTTAATTAAATTTTAGAAGGGGATGCCTTCAATAAATAAAGTCTAGGATTTTTAATCATCATCTAAGCCTTGTCCCAACTATATGGGGTTGGCTACATTAATCTGTTTCATCATTCCTTTCTGTGCAGTACTGTATCCATCATTAAATTTTTAGTGGTAACCTTTTTGGTTGTAGATCAAAAAAAGAAAAAAATTTCCAAGTCTGGGATAAATTACTTAAATATAAAGAGCAGACCGTTTGAGGTATCACTTAACAATATCTGGAACTAGCAGAAGTGTTGATCACAGGTAGGGTAACAGGACTGAGACCATTTGGTTGGACCAGAGTAGCTTGGCTGCCCAATGCTTTTTTTTTTTTTTTTTTTCAATTTCAGAAAAGGTGAACTGTCAATCATGAAAAGAAAGAATAGAGCATTGTAGCTTAAATATTGAAGTTTAATTCTTGTCCACCAAATAGGGTTGGGTTGAGGCCCTTTTTTGTATATAAAAGATTGATAAACAACAGCCAGCAGGTAAGATGGTCACTTGACCATGTGTACAGACAAAATTTAATTCTGTTTCTCAATGTATCCACAGATAGGATAGTTAAAAAGTTGAAGTAAAAGAACCCAAATTAAAGCCGCCTACTTGTTGGGTTTCCGGTTAAAGCAGTTAGGGCCTTAAGGGTTGTAACAGAATAGGGTCCCTAATGGCTTAAAGAAGACAAAAATTGAACTGGACAGACAAAGAAATCGGAGGCTAGGATTAAGGTAAGGCTGAACTGGAACGTAGGGCATGGATTGACTAGTTTTTCAATGCCCAAGAAAGGGTGCCCTGCTCCCATCAAGATATGATTTAATGAATCATAAGCCTCACTGACTGTGATGGATACATTGAGAAACAGATACAAAGCATAATCGGTGTTTCTGTAATAACTTGGGTTGAGGGGTGTTTATCAGTTAAGGGCCTCTGTTTATGCTTTTCCAATTTGTGTTATTACGCTTCTGTGGTCATCATAGTCTGTAACAATAGCATCTTTCTGATTAAAGGTGTCAATGGACCGGTTTTGGATTGGACTCCGTCCAGTCCAAAATCAATTTGGATGGACCAACAAGATATATTGGATTGGACCAATCCTATCCAAAATATTTATTAGATTGGGTTGGACCTGGTCCGTCCGTAATAAATTTATATTGGATTGGGTTGGATTAAGCCAATATCTGGTCCATTGGTATAAGATAAGAATATAGGTGTCAATGGACCGGGTTTGGATTGAAACCAATCTAAATCAAAATGAATTTGAACAGATTGGATGGTCCAGACATTGAATTGGACCGGTTCAAAATGGTCCAAAATATTCATTGGATTGGATTAGACCTGGTCCATTTATAATGGACTCACATTGGGCTGGATCGGATTGGACCAAATCCAGTCCAATTGAGACCCCTACTCCTGATCATCTCATATTGTTTGATCTTGAGATTGTCTGATACTAATTGAATATGTTTTCTTATGTTTCTGAATCGAAGTGATTAATCACTTTTTACTTTCGAGTTTTGACACAGAAAAGTGTTGATCACAAGTAGGGTAACGGGACTGAGAATTTGATCTATAATCACTTTGCATAATTTATTTTTCAGTTTTATCTTTTATGGGAAAAAATCTGTTTTCCTTGAATTTGTTTTTTCAATGGGCCAATGGGGACAATATTACTTGGATCTTGTACAGACATTTTGGTGATTAAGGATATGGCTGCAATAATATACACATTAAACTTTCTGTTTTTCCCTTGTTTTTTGGTATTGCAATGCAGCTTTGGCACCCATAGGAGCAAGGTGTTATATTCTGGACCTGTAGTTAGCAGGTTAGTTGGGTTAGGGTGGCAGGGTTGCAATGGGGGCCCACTGGTTTACACAATGCAGGGTGCCTTTTTTCTGTGGCCTTGAACCTGCATCACTATGTCAATGGGAGGGATGCCAACTGACTACCTAGTCTACATAATCATTGGCATATACTCATTGAATTTGATCATGTCACTGCATTATCTTGGGATTATCTTTTACTAGTTGAATAAGCTTTCTTATGTTTCTGAATCAAGGTGATTAAGCACTTTTGTCTCTTTGTTATCAAGTAAGATAACAAGACTGAGACTTAAAATATTCTGACTTTGTATCAATTCTGTTAGTCATACTCTTCTATTGGAAAAAAGAATAAATAAAATACTATATACTTGAACTTGATTTTTCAGTGGATACAATATTCCTTTGATCCTGTACAAAAATTTTGGTGATTAAGGACATTACTAGAATCATTCATTCACACCTAGGCATCTCCAACTTGCTTCTCTGTTTGTCCATATGATGACTTTTGGAATTATAATTATATTGTGGTTTGGCTGTAGACCTTGAGAGTCAATGCATTAGTTGAGATAACTGTTTTTTTTTTTTTTTTTTGACTTGTACAAAGATTATAGTTGTTTTCGTTTTGATATATAAGATCATCAGGAAATTCACTGAGAAAAAATTACCATGGATATTGACCAACTGGAAACTTTCTACTTAATGTTTCTTAGGAATAATAATTGAAAGTTGATAAAAAAAATAATAATTGAAAGCATGTTTTATCTTTTTCTTTTTTTTTCTTTTTGCTTTCATTTCTGTTTTTTAGTTGATGTTATGTTTTGTCATAATTCTTTCCTTTGCTGATTCATTGGTTTCTTTAGGTAAGTGATACTTTTTATGTGGCAGGTATGGGCGTGAAAGGTTTTACTCTTCCTGGAAAGATATCAAATGCCAAAGTAATACTAAATGGTGGCCAAAATGTCACTTATCTTAGGCCTGATGGCTATTTTTCTTTGTATCCTTCCAATTCTGATGGCCAAAGTTTATGTTATGTTTCTCTTGCTGAAGGGGGCTTTCTTATGATGATCTTCTTTCTAAAAAATAGTAGTTTGTGTACATTTGTTACAATAATTTTTCTGGCTGCTGACAGGAAAACCTGTAATCTTTCCTGTTTCTCCTCTATTTCTTTCATTTTTCCTGTATTTCCTCATAAGTTAGTGGCGTTTGGGAATTTTTTTTGTAACTGACAAGTGTCATTCCTGTCAGATCGTGGACTCTCTGGGAATTCTGTATATATCTACAACCTTTGAGTGAATTGTATTTTTGAAGATGTTAAAAATATCAATTGTATTTTTGTGTCCCAATTATAATTGGGTTGGGACCAGTTTTTGCTGTTCTGAACTGATTAAGATCCAGACCAATTATGTAATTAATAATATAAGAGTCTCCTGGATTTTCTTGTAATTTTTGTTATATTTCATGTTTAAAGGGTAAATTTCATATACAAGATAATTTTGGTTAAAAATACTTGCTTTATCAACCTGTAAATAGTTTACTATTTACTTTCATTTTATTAAGGTTATATTATTAAAAATGAAGTTCCAAGTTGTTGTATTGTAGGTAATTATAGATGCCAAGTATAATTGGGTCTAGTTGGGTCAGACCTGATTATCCCAATTAATAATTGGTTCAGTTCTGGATCTATTTTATAGAACCAATTAATGATCAGTTCAGGACTGGTCCAGCCTGTCTCGAACCAGGCCTGGCTGATTGACAGCTCTAGTTGTAGAAGTCACTGGATAATCACCTAGGAACTTTCATGACAAGTGAGGTCCACCACTGAACTAAGTGAGGTACGTATTGCCAATCAAAGAAAGTTAGTTACATAGTTGTATAGACAGCAGGGATGTTGTATTGACTGTGTATTATATAAGTGGCTCAAGGGTTGGAACACAAGCTTGATAGGATCAGGTGGAAACCTTGGATTGCCAATGGTCTGGTTGATAGTCTAGCAAAATTGGGTTCACAAGTCAATAGTCTGCCTTGGGGTCTGCCTGGGTCCAAGAATGAATTGTTACTTTGTGAATATAAAATATGCCTCGCTATCTGTGAGCTGTTTATAATTGCTCTTGCTATCTTTTCTTTTCGATGGTAAGTTCCTATTGCCATTGAATACCATATATTCTGTTGATTATGAGAAAACAGTTTGATATGACCATATAGGAGGTCTTCTTCAGTAAACTTGACCGATTGGATAGACAAAGATTACCTGAAATATTAGCTTATTTTGAAAGGTAAAAAAACTGTATGTAATCCTGTAGAAGGTTGACAAAGAAAGATGAGATTAAATTCTCTCATCAGTGAACTTTCCTTGCAGAAGATTGCCCCTGATCAGTTTAGGGGCCATTACCCAATATTGGTCCTGGCTATCCTGGGTCTTGGAGGGGTGAACTGGATACTCTGATCAGTTTACAGAGTATCTTTTAGTAAGGTTTATTTAGAGAAGGAATCTTTTCAAGATAAGTTGTGTCCTGAGAAACCTCCATTCTGACTAGGTTGGTTCTAAAGTCGGCCCATAATAGCATTTGTTGCTTCGGACTTTCAGAAGCTCAGTTCAAAAATAGAGTGCAATTTCTGCAATGTGTTATGGTAGTAATTGCTGATATATAATTTTGTGGGCATTGTTATTCCTTCACCTGTGATGCTTATAGCCACAACATACCAGCGGGAACTCATCTAATTGAAGTGGCTGCCCTTGGTTTTTTTTTCTCTCCGGTAGGTTTCTTGGATCACAGTTTATTCTGGATTTTTAGTCAATAAACCTAATTCCAGATGATTATATTCAATATTACATGTTTAGGTACGTGTTGATGTCAGCGCTAGAAACCCTGGTAAGGTTCAAGCTGCACTGACAGAGAACAGGAAAGGTCTGAATGAATTGATTTTGGAGCCTTTGAGAGAGGAACAATATTATGAGGTAAGTTCATATATTAGCTTTAGTCACTTTCGTGTTGAAAATCTCCATTGTTAACTTTTGGATTACAAGTTTGTCTGGCGTTTGCTTGTTCATTGCAGATAAGGGAGCCCTTCTCCATAATGAATGTCATAAAGAGCCCAATGGGCCTGATGGTTGGCTTCATGCTGATTGTTGTGTTTCTCATGCCCAAACTAATGGAAAATATGGGTACAGTATCCCTCACTTTGGTTCAAGGAATTTCTTATTTTCTATTCATATCTAGATTCTGGGTCTGAGCTGAATGCTCACTCAGGTTGATTGGGGTAGAGAACATTCATTGGCGTATTTTTCTAAGTACAACTCATGTTCAGAGTTTAGTATGGTATTAGCTCACCCAAGTGGGTCAATTTTGATTACTGGCCACTAGATTTGGTTCGGGGGCATTCATGAGTCTATTCTTCTATAAGTGCTATCCAACTGATGTTGAGAGTGCACTATGATATAAGCTCAGTAGCTCACCAAGTGGGCTCACCTGAGTTTGACTGATGGTTGGGTGGCCTTCGTCTGGCATAAGTGTTCTTCAAAAAGAATTAGAACATTGTCATGTTTAGCAAATTACTATGGTTCTGGTTCTGTTACTGATCAATCTATTTGTTACCAGATCCTGAAGAAATAAGGCGAGCTCAAGAAGAAATGAGGAGCCAAGGGGTTCCTTCTCTGGCAAACTTGATACCTGGTGCTGGAAGAAACTAGGACTAGTTCAACCAATCACATGAACTCTTTTCGGATTTTGTGCTTCATCTTTGAGAGTTGTGTATTAGAAAACAACACGATGAAAGGCTCATTTCAAATTGTAAGGCTGCTTCTGCTGCAACCTCAACAACTTTCTGATACACTAGCTCTTTCTGCTGGGGGACAGGGAGAGTGGGAGTTTCTTTGGAAGTTGGTTTATTTTTTGTGATCATATACTCTCATTTTCAACACTAAAAATGTACATTTACATTATCAGACAAGGGATTTTATTTTAGTTGGAAAAGATGATTTTGTCTTGATAGCTACTCTCAGCAAGCAACTCTTGATGCATCTTTTATATGATGGACCTTGAGTGGTCTAAAGCCATTAATGATGGGGTTACTTCTTAGCCCAAGAGCTGCGGAAGTTGGATAATTTATTTCCAGCATAAGTGGATGGGTTTGTGCTATATAAGTGTTCATGATTGATGTCTCGCATGTCTGGAGAAAAAAAAATCCTGAGACTGGCGTTATTGCAAATACTGGTTGTTTGCATTTTTATTTTCTATCATTTTAAATCAATATTTCTGTTACTTCTGTTTTTTTTAATTATTTTTTAGGTGTTTTTTCAATTATTATGGGTAAACAAGTGTTAGGTTCAAAAATGTCATTTAACACATGCGGTATGCCTTAAGAATAGGTATGCAATCGAATTGAGCTTTAGGCTCCGTTTGGATGGAGTATAAATATAAATATGTAGAGTGCAAAACTTTACATTTTGTATTATTTTATATGTATTTGTACTGTTTCCAAACTGAGCCTTAATGGAACATTTCAGGCTTAAATTCGATTAGGCTCATTTGAGTTTTGATAATTTGAATCTCAGAGTAAGTTCGAATAGTTTTTCTAGCTCAAATTTGATTAATAAAATATTCAGCTTGATGATTAAAGATGAGTAAGGTAGCCTGTTGAATTGGAATAATTGTTGATTTATAGCATACCGAACTTCTTTAGTTGGGGCCCATGTATTGGATCCCAATCCTTGTATACATAATTTGACATGTGGCAAGCTAATGTCCCCAGATGGCCAGATCTTCAAGGGTCTAGTGGTTGATTAAGATCATTTAATCCAACAGAGCTCTTAGATGGGGCCCGAAGAATGGAGTTCGGATCTGTTACCAACCAAACGCTTCCAACATGTCCCATCTGAATGGAGTTCAGATGGGGCCCAATAGGACATGTTGGCTAGTTGGTACAGTGTTGGGAGCGTTTGTTGGTACTTGTTAGCAGATCCTACCCAATGGATTATGGATTATGGATGCCGTGTTGCGTGTTGAGTCTTCTGTTGTTCTTATGTTTCCCAAAAGAAACTGAAAGGGACGCGCTTTTTGTCTTGTGATCCTCAACTTGCATTTCCAAGTAGCACACGCCATCAAAAGCACAAACAACATTCCACTATTTTATGGGACTGGTGCCACTTGTATGCAGTCTACTGACCCACGTGGCATTAGAGCATGCAACCCAGTCTACCACCACAAACCCTGCTTATCATGCAACCAACCAACCATTAAAAATATATGCGTATAAAAAGGAACAAACTATATAAATTAGTAATCATGGAAATTAAATAATCAATAAATAAATGTCCTTTTAATCACGACTTGCATTTTTTATCCCATGAAAGACATTTGCAACATCTTTGGCAATAATTATTCTGGGAGTAGCAATTTCAGTCTAGGCAAGTGAAAGATTGAATGATTTTCTTAAGAGTTCTTTTCTTTCAAACAATTGTAATGCTTTCATCTCTGTGAATTTTGTTCTTCTATGTCAAGAGACTCAAAACTCAGGAGTTTTTTTTTTTCTCTTTTTCTTTTGTTTTTTGTTTGAAGGGGGGAGGGGGGAGGGAGGAGGGTATCAGAATCAAAGGAAAAGAAATTGAACATCAATCAACACTGTTGTTTCATGGGGGATGAATCTGAGGATAACGGAACCATTAACCATTCCCAGAAAATGTATAAGCTTGCAGAGGCCAAACATTCAATGAAGATGAGATAAACGATTATGAAGGTGTGGGATTACAATTAGATGGATGGAACTAGTCTGATCAATATGATTTCAATGGTCAGAAAGTGAAAACCATGTGAAAGCACATGGATCTCATAAGGGTAGGACAAATTTAATAGGCGTCCTACTCAAAGAATAACCCACCTGTGACCTGTACAAGTTCTAATTTTGTACAGTTAATCTATTGGGCCGATCATGATTCGTCACGTCACAGATGGGCACCACGTGCCTGGCCAATGTGGTGTATTCTGATTGGTCCAGTGCCATCTGGAAACCAGAGGATTTGGACTTGGACTCAACCTGTATTGTCTAAATGAGAGTTCTAATTGAAACTGCTTGTCCTTAACCAAATCAATTGTTATGGACAAACCTTGAAGATCAGTGCTAAATTTACTAGAAGATAAGTAGTAGTTTAGTGAAGCAAGCTATTGATAAACGTCAAGACAAGAAAGTTTCACACCAAAGAGTTAAGAGTGGACAGGTAGCAAGAGGCACTGATTTTAATTAATCACCAAAATCAAAATAAGCAGCAAACTGAGGTCGTTGAAGGACACATCAAACATTTTCAGGCATAAGAAAAAAAAAAACTACATTAATCACACTCCCAAGACCTTTACAAGAAAATTTACATATTTGTGGAATAAAGCCGCATAAGGCCAAAGAATGACATCAAAGCTAGCTACATATGGTACACAAGTAGGACCTGAATTTGTCCTGATCTCAGATACTTTGAATTAGATTGGGTATGAGAACGATGAGGTTAGTGAATATGAGATGCTGGCTAGGGACCCATGTTGGCGTGCAAGATCATCAATGTCTCTTACAATGTTGAAAACAGCATCCGGTTGTGCTAGTTTAAGTGCATTCTCTGACATTTTCTTCAACTCTTCTGGCTTGGAACTGAACCATTCAGAAACTAGAGCAGCTGTTTCCTTTGGATTTTGCGAGAAGACACCTGCACCGTTGTCTACCACATAAGGGATGTTGCCAACTTCCTGCAAGATTGTCAAATGAAGGGAAGGGAAGTGCTTTGGCATCAGAATTCAAACTGGGGCATCTTGATATGACCCTCTACTTGAAAACCAATGAATTTCTAGGAACACGATTTCAGCTCAACTTGAAGATCAAAAGAGTTTAATGGATAGGATATGGTCTTGACCTACAAGGAGAAATTAAGGAGCACCAAGAAAGAAATGAAGCTTATATTTATATACCTCCTACACCTAAAAAATGATTTGAGGTTCATATACTTTTCCAGTAAGAAAAGACTAGGTAAATTTAATCTAGTTATCTGCAGAAGTTATGTTTCATTAAACTTAATAGGTCAACCAAATCTAAGTTCAAATTAGATGCTTCCCAATTAAGTTGACCAGGGAGAATTAGAATTTTTGTTAGTTCACTAAAGCAGACCATAAGATGCACAGATTAGATCAATTTGGTTGTATTTTTATGAGATTAATTAAACGTTGGATACTTGTGGCATATATTCTGAAGTACATGGAAAACCATTAATTCCATTAACCTTACTGAAGTAAACAGATCCATCAGCACTGACCTGTCCAGGGATAAAGTCGTTTAGGATAATTGGAAGGCCCCTTATCAAAGCCTCAGTAATTGTGCCAGGTCCAGCCTATGACAGCCACAATAACCATTAGCTTAGGATGCACAAATAAAAAACAAATTGAAGAACAAAGAGGAACATTAAGACATGGCAAACTACTAACACACTTTTGTGATAATGCAATCACAAGCTCCCATCCATTTCTCCATCTGTGTCTCAAATCCTCTTATCTGTGAACAAGAGAATAAAAGATTAAAGGGATTTTCCACTATGATTCTTTTGTCACTTAAAGACAATTTGAGTCATCGTTGTGTGACTGGATAAAAAAGTAAAAGTATCACCTTCACAGGCACCTTCCACTGGATTGACCCTAGTGTAGTAGCTAGGTCCTTATTACGGCCACATATAACAATCATTTGGCCAATGGGCTTCCCAAGCTCTTCATCAAAGAGTGATTCACCAAGGGCCCTTGCAGTTTTCTTGACAGGACCCATTCCTTCACCACCTCCCATCAGCAAAACTGCAGGCAAAGAAGGATCCATCTCTAGTTCTTCTCTTAACTCATCCTGCATGAAAAACAAATCCAAAAGCCACAAAATCAGAAATCCACCAAGTGGTCCATAATAAAATTGACTGCTTTAGCTAGATGTTAATCTCAATGTCAACCTTGGGTAGAACTGCTTGACAGAATGATGGGCGGATTGGCAAGCCAAAGACACGAATCTGGGAAGAATCTAGCCCATCTAGTAAAGCTCTCTTTGCTACATCCTCTGATGGGCAGTAGCATCTGGTGACATTAGGGTGGAACCTGGTCATAACACAGCTTCCACCTTAAAACCTCCAATAAGATAAGGCTATTGGCCCAAATAGATGATGGAATTAGAGATGTCTTAAACTAACCATGTTCTGTGGCAAGTATTGAGGTCAGTAATGACTGTAACAAACACCACTTTCTTGTGAAGTCCCTGCCATTTAAGCACCCAGAGGGGAATATGCTGCATGAGAGGATGGACACTAATGATAACATCTGGTTTGTACTCCATCAGACCAGCCTCTACCTCTCTTCAAATGTAAAACAAAAAGAAGTTAAAAAAATTAATATGTACAAATTGAATACTTCTTTCCTTGTGATTGGGAAACATGGTTACTGATAATTGGGAAACATACTTGGCATAGAATGCGGCAAAAAGAGCTAGATAGAAGCAGTGAATCCAGCGAGGAGAGGTACTGTGAAATGCAACCTTCCAAAGCTGTACATGTTTCACCATGAATTTGTATGACCTTTCCATATCATTCAATGGCCAACCAGTGTACTCTTTCCACACATCCTTTATAAAAACCTGAAATCAACGACCCTTTTACATAAGCAAGAAGAAATATAGACCTGAATAAGTGTTTATAGAGGAAATATACCAAATAAAGGAAGAAGACATAGTAAGTTTGAATAAAAAACATACAGTAAAACCCCAAAGAACCTAAATTGAGATCAAGAGTATGCTAACACCATCAGAGAAAAAGAAAAGGAAGAAGGAAGAAACAGAAACACCCAAAAATAGATCCTTTTAAAGAAACTAGCTATCCAGAAATGAAGGGGGAAAAGGCAGCGAAAAACACATAAGCCCATGAATTCAAAATCTGGAAGCAAGAATTTAAATTTACAATAGCAAGAACAATGCAGACCATATTGTCCAGATTAAGAACAAACCCGAGAAGAAAAAAAAAACCATATAAAACAAATAGGTCACATAAAATTTAATTAAAACATCAAACAAATAAAAACAAATTTAAAGAAAGAAACTAACAAAACAACTAATGGAAACAAAAACAGAACATCAATATCACATTAAACAGAAAATACAGAAGAAAATCCATTAAACCCAGAAAAGAAACAAGAAACTTACTCTATACTCGTCCCCAAATTCCAACTGAAACGCGTCCCGAATGGCCTCAGCTGAAGCTCGATGTCCTCCACCAGTGTCGCTCATCAAGATCAAGACATTTTTGGTCCTCTCAGCTCCAATCTGTACAAGCTCCACCGGCTCATCATCGTCACCATGATACCCATAAGAACACCTCTTCTGATTATTATAATCGCCCCCAGCGCTGTTAAACCACGTATCTCTAATCGATCTTCTTGGCGACACCACTGACATAACCATGTCTGTTATGCTTCCCTCCCAAATTTTGAAAGAAACATACAACAACAGTCAAGTTTCCTCCCTCTAGCGCCGGCGAAGCCAACCGCCGGACGAACCAGCTTCCCGGCAGACACCGAGAGAGAAAGAGAGAGGTTGACAGAGAAGAAACGAGGGGCCGGGGGAAGAGCGAGCGTGGGAGCGTGGAAGTTTGAAAGCCTCTGAGCTGGCGAAACGGAACGTTTCGTTATTGTTTGTAACTTGTAAGTTGTAACATTCAGATTCCCGAATGATGCCGGTACTTTGGGTGTTAAGGAATTTATAACCGTCAGATTCGCATTTTAGTTTTGGAATGTTCTGAGAAAAAGATCCGCATCTAATCCTATTTAAATACAAAATAATGATTTAATTTTTTTTTCTTCTCTTCTTTTTTTATCAGTGGACCGTGGGCCCAATTTTCGGGTGTCCAGGTGAGCTGGCGAATAGGCCAGCTTACTGTATCGTGACGGAATGTATGGGCCTGACGTCATACTAAGGCCTTTAATGCAGTTATAAATCTGTCATTGGATTGGATTGGAATCTTATTTTACCTTGGCAATAGATAAAAGTAGAAGATGCTTTGGTATCTCACGTTTTTGAATGTTGATTCTGTTTAAAAGAAACCGGATTAGATTCATTTTCTTTTGTCAGATCTGTTATCTTGAACGTAGAGCTTCAGTAAGATTCCAATCCAAGGGTCACCCATGTTCAATGCATCAATTCCAAGTTGCAGAAGAGACACAGAGCAGACAACAAAGGTGGACCTTGGTTGGTAGGAAAAATGACTGAAAATACGCTTACATCACACATGTTTGTATGGGTCCCTGTCTTCCCATTTGAAACACCCTTTTCCACGTGGAATTTTTAATAAAAGAAAAAACTGGCAAATTAGTAATCATTGATTTGGAATCTATGAAGTGATCGAGTGGGTTTGGGACTGTAGGGCCATCAGATTGGAATATACCGGGAATAAGGATGGGGAGATGCGTGAGTGTGAACTGTTGAAATGAACCGACTGACAATGCCCAACTCGAACTACTGAGAGACTTGAGAGGCAAATCTTCCAGCCCAAAATGACATGGGCGTCCACTGGGCTCTGAGTTTGATACCATTTAGGGTACGTTTGGTTAAAAGTTGAAATCCAAAATTTAAATAAGAATTGGAGTGGTCTATTCCCTCGCCTGTGTGGTTCATATGGAAATTGAAATTGATTCTCATTCTCAAGGGAGGGAGAGAAAATGATCATTCTCTCAAATGGAACAATATCATTCCACCAAAAATAAGAATTGGATTCCAATTCTATCCAACCAAATGGTCAGAAGTGGAATCAGAATGGACCATTTTCAATTCCAATTCTGATTCCTGATCTCTATTCCTGGACCCTTAGTTAATTTGAGCTGATCATTATTGAATTGAACCTCTCTACTGGACATCAAGTCAACAGCAAGATTAGCCACCCTGGCAATTAGGTTAGTACATGTAAAAGTCCACAAATTGATTAAATTGGAAACGTAGTTTAGTGGGCCCCACGTAGAGATGAACTGGGCCAGTGATAGTCATGACCTATGAACATGAAGGTATCTCTATAGCTGTATCTGGACTGTATTAATTCAAGGACAGCCAGAAACACCCTGATCACCTTCAAAAAATTGTCAAATAACTGGAAATCATCTGGTCATGATCATGCAGATACTAGCTAGGTAACTTATGGGACTTGCATAGTACTGAATTTTCAGACCTAACAGTCATAGAGAAATGTATTTGAGACGGATCTGTTCCTCATAAATGGGCGCCTCACATTTACATCCACTGTGCATTGAGAATATCTCCCGTGAATAATAATTAATAAGTACGGAAGATGTTCCTAATGCATGATAAGATGTGCATGTGAGGCATCAGGTGTGAGGAGTAGATTCGGTCTCATATATATATATATATATATATATATATATATTGACACAAATGTTTGTGACATAAAGGTTCTGTTTATGTTAATATTGAGTAAATGTTTCTTGACGGTGTCACATAGGCACCCTGTTAGCAAATACCTCATTAATTGCATTTGTATGTATTGAAATTTGTAAATGTGCGCCTCTCTCGTTTCAAGAAGCTTCATTTTGGAGCTTCTTGAAATGGATAGATGTTTATTGGCATTTTGCTGATGTGGCGTCTAATGGTGCCTATGTATCATAAACGTCCTCATTAAATATATTTCTCGGTTTTACAATTATACAAGTACAGAACGTACTGAATAAACATAAATGGAACCAAACAGCCTGAAAAAACAATATGATTTTACTATTGGGACAGATTTTTTTTTTTCTTTTTGAAAAAGAAAACCATTCATATTGATGAACACCCTCAAGTTGATTCGGTTCTGGTTATTTTCAAATTTTAATTCCATTTGGAAGAAGTTCAGAGAATGGAGACATTTCCTGTTCTTTAAAACAGTTCAAAATTTTTTTCATGGTCGGGAAAGAACTTTAAACTTAGATGGTTTTCCATTGTTGCCAATACTGACTTTTCTGGTAGGGAATCCGTTAATCGATTGGTTGGCCCATTAGACGTGAATTATCTTTCTTATTCTGAGTTTCAAAAATAAATGTGTTTTCTGATTTAAAACTGAACCAAAAACGTATTTTTGCATTTTTTTTAAATCAAGTACGATTACAAAACCTCACCCCTCAAATGAGAAATAGCAACTTTCACCATTTCTCTTTCTTCCCCAGTTTTTTGCCGTTTCTCTGAATATCTTCTACCCAAAGCTTTCTGTTCCCCGCCACTGCCTCAGGAACGAAAATTTCATGACAAAAATCACCAACTCATACCGGGGCAACACAACTCTTAAGATAAGTTTTAACCTGGCCATCAACTATTTAAACACATCACTAGGGAAATCCCATAATGCAACTATACATTTGTTAGAGGAATAATGTATGGCTAACCTCACTTATTGTTACGAAATTTAGTTCAATACAATATCAAAAATTCCTCAAGAGAAAATATATGGAGTGGATATTGAGCACAAGCAATTACTCATCTCCAAAACCAAGTTCACATTCCTTATCACCCAATAAAACCCAGCCCCACTCATGACACTGGGATTACAATTATTTGCGTAGCTGGTCATGGCTGTAACATTCCCCGGTGAATCCTTGCGTGCGACATAACCCTGCAGAAGATTTATGTATATAAGGAATAAAATGAATTGAATGTACAAAAAGATACCGAGTAAACCAATGAAGTCATTTTTGCTTCAAGTGACATTGCAATAAAGCAGATACTGATATTTTGAATGCTAGACTATGTTTGGAAACGATGCAAATGGAGTGTAAATCTCGGTTTAGGATAAGTTTGCATTTTGGTTCATTTTTGTTTGTGTTTAGCAACATTACATTTATGCATTGATAAATGACAGATCAATGCATATTTAAATTGATAATAAGATGTAAAAGTATATCAATAAAAATAAGTAAATTTGCTTTTAAGTGGGCTTTTGATAAAAAAAACATATATTTTATTGAAATTCATGTTTGTATAGCTAAAAATCTGTTTGGTAATACCATAAATTTGTCAGTGCAAAATTAAACAAACTTTACAATTTATATATACAAACCATTTTACACTCTACACATTTGCATTCACACTTATTTGCATCGTTTCCAAACGCAACCCTATGTGTATGACCAACACATGCATGATTTTAATTACTCTCTTGCAACAATTTCAGTATCAAAAACAAAGTAAATTTTTGCAATATATCTTTAGTGATTCAACTCCTCAATAAAGTTTTAGAGGCATCTTAGTATTTCACCACACTCACACTCACATAGTATTATATCAATCCACATCCCTATCTTTTCCTCATACTGTATATAAATCACGGGATATAGTTTCGGATGAATCGAGCCCCCATCTCCCACCTAATCACATCAATCATTCCCTACAGAAATGGTACACTATTTTAGTACTAACAAGGAAGAATAACCACACACAAAATTCAAGTGATGCATTCCATATACTTCATCACAAATACACCGCATTCGCTATCACTGCTCAGAACCTAGATAAGCTTTTTTCATACATATTATCCAACCTACGAGGGCCCCATCACATAAGTGTTCAGCTTTTGACACGTACCCAAATTGTTTCGAGGCTGACCTGATGAATTCAAAAGGCCAATTGATGACACCGGTAACAAAAGGCACCAATTTCTCTCCCAATGTTACTTGTTGTCAGGTCATGTGAGACGCACATATATCAACAAACCCACTCATTTGCTTCTATGCAACTAAACATCAACTTGATGACATGTACTATGTTTCTTGCATACGTTTGGCCGCAGTTGGTGTTCAAGGAACTATAAGCTTCGATTTTATGGTGCAAAATATCATTACCATCAACTGCCGGTATGAGCGATAACATCACGACAGGCATCTGAAAAATACAACTGCATTAGAAACACACAACATTAAGGTAATCTTAAAAGATGCAAGCAATATCACATTTAGATATCATTGAAGACATATGGTGTTAGTGGGTCTTGCCATCGGAAAGAACCCATATGCATCTATACAACATCGACACCATATGTCAGTGGGGCCGTGGGGGATTCACAACCAAGCATGTCAAGTCAACACAAATAATATAACTACAACACCTTGCACTACATGTGCACCCAATCAATACCTCATTATAAGCCCAAGCTTCAGGGTTGAAGAGGGCCAGCAGACAATTTAGGATAACAAACATGACACCATCGTTCCATACTAATTTATCACTACATCGAAATTATCTATTCATCAATGAACAACAAGAAAAAAATTAAACGGACAAAATCCAATATACGATGGTGTGTACTTACCCTCTTTTGGAGTTGTGCAAGAACCGTTTTACAATTGCTAGATCCTCCTTCGAAAGCAAATCCTTCTTAAATAAAGACCATAAAGATCGTCCATCCATAAACTGCTATAAATACTCCATTAGTCACTAGAGTACTAAGCAACTTAAAGCTAGATGGTTCTCACTTTATCTTTTCTTTCACTACTCTTTTGGACCCTACAACAATGGCAAATTCTTTTGCAACCTGCGCTTGCTGCCTAGGATCTAGATTAGGTAACGCCACAATGCTGCTTTGCTTTCATTCCTTGCCCAGGTTGACCTATGCTTGTAGGTAGATACAATGGAGGGAGACACATCAATGATCTCGTAGGATGGCACTATGCTGGCCCATTTA